ACGAGAGCGTGAGGAGAGAAGGAAGGAAGAATATATATATATATATATATATATATATATATATATATGTGTGTGTGTGTGCATAACGTGTTGAAGGTGATTACGCGCATCGTGGCATTGTCTTAGCTGGTGGAAGATGCTCACGAAACTCGAAAACTCGTCGCGCGATTTCCCCTCCAAGCCTGTCGTCGCGACGACGAATAAACAAACAGCGTCCTCGGCGGGCCGCATACGCCGTCTGACTACGCGTCGCTCATACTATTTACTTCTACTACTTGCGCCTACCTGCTCCTCCCGGTTTTGCATTATGCAAAGCTTGCCGTGGAACCAAGTTGGCCACGGGAAAGAAAGGAACGGATACGAAAGATCATCCCACGGCTCGCTTGGGATTCTCCCGTCAACGATACTCTCTCTCTCTCTCTCTCTGTCTAGGACGAGTTCTCGTCTCGCATCCTGCTTCGAGGAGCGTTGGGAAAACCGGTAGGTAGGACGGATAAATCGAATGGAAAGGAGGGGAGTTTGGAAAATTTTTAAAAAATCTTATCGAATCTCTCGAGGATTAAGGATTTTAAAGTTAAAGATTAAAGTTTCGCTCGCTAAATTTGCCCGTTTCCCTATTTGGATAAATTTAGTTTTAGGTGGGCGGTACGTTTGGTTGCCGCACAAAGACGGCAATAATATTACTGCGATAACAGCGCTAGGAAATCTGTTTAGCGTCTGGTTCGATGAGAATGCCGCTTGCAACATCGGGGAAACTCGGTCGTCAGAGAGAAACACGCTTCCCACCGCGACAGTTCGCCTCTACGAGCCCTCCGCGGCCCTTCCCCCCTAACCAACCCGCATCTGGACGTGCATCCTTGCGATACAAACTTTGTCGAACTTGCCCTCACGAAACAGTTACTCTCTCACGAGGAATAATTGTTGAACCGTTTACGGGCCGTGCATCAAATGAATCCACGCCTCGTTTCACTTCTCTTCTTCTTGCTTTTGTTTTTACAGGGAGAGGGGAAAAATAAAAAAGGGGGGGAGAAAGGAAGAAAAATCAAACGAACCAAGTTATTATTCCTCCTCGTTTTAGAGGATAAAGAGGAACGTGTTCCGCGGAAATGAACACGCGGATGATGATGACGACGATGATGAAAGGGGCGACAACGACGTTAACTAGGAATATCAATCGTTCCGCTCATGGATTGCTCAATTTCGGGGGTGCAAATGCGATGCAGATGCGGCAATTCCGCGCGGGCATACGTGTTTCACCACGTCGTTGTTACTTCGGGGCGCGAAATTTCGTGCAACCCTCTCTGCAACGGGTGAACAGACGGGGAGGAGTGTGTTCGCTGCACGCAGACAGCATCCGACAGTCATCAACAACAACAACAACAACAGTCGCGAGCAGTTTCTGTTTCCCTTTCGATAAAAGATTTGGATTGCGATTATCACCAAGGAGGAAACGAATCCGTCCGAAAGAGCAGAAGCAGAAGGAACGAGGAGCGTCTCCCGTTTCGAGAAATATCCTCCAACGGAATTATCGGAATATTCTTCGAAGGTGGCGCTTCTTTACACCCGATTCCATTTCCACGCGCGTCGCTAATTAGCTTCAGGCGCGAAACATCGGTTTAATTATCCCTCCCTCGTTTCC